TTGTAATGTTGTGATAACCTGTGTAAACCAGACATGTATCTACCTTGGCCTGTAATGTTGTGGTTACCTGTGTAAACCAGACATGTATCTACCTTGGCCAGTAATAATGTGGTAATCTGTGTAAACCAGACCTTTATCTACCTTGGCCTATAATAATGTGGTGACCTGTGAAAATCACAGGGGTCAAACTACTAAATGAACATGTAATGATAGTTCTCCATCACATCTTTGGTTGTACTCTGAAAGTGACATGAAATACTTGCCTGAAGGATGTCTTCTCTGGCCCAGTACAAGGCATATGGCACAGCTTAAGCTTGTTTGTGATAATAATAATCAACAGAATTATTGCATGTACCATTATTTTATTGATAAGTTCATGTACAGTCTATTTTTTTGATAATATACAAAATATTCAGCTTACAAAAATGCATATATTTTTAAATAAGTAATAAAAATTTATCACAATGATGCTTGATGGATAACGGCCACCTACAAATAAAACTGCAGAAAATACAGGATGAAGGGTGTCACCTATTATTAATGCTTCAGGGTCTCCAATGATGGCCACGAACAATTGAAGAGAAATTATTTGTGTATCACTTTAAATAAAATTTACTATCGTCAAGAAATGGCATATCTCCTTGACCACGTTAGATGGATTCTTCTGTTCAATTGATTGATTTTACTGGTGTAATATTTGGAGATAATTTTAAATAGTTGATTTCATTATAACAATCCATAGTCTCCCATTGGTAATGATTTCTATATTTAACAAACAGTATACTTATGTCAGGAAACATAGATCACAGTGAGGTCATATCGACCTACTCCTTGCACTCCACCATCCCAAGGTGACCTTCTACACCAAATCTGGATATTCCAGGGGAAATAGTATAGAAGATATACCCCAGAAAAACATTTTCAAAAGTAAAGGTCAAAGGTCAAATCATAGGTAACAGTGACCTAATTCTTGCACTCCACCCTCCGTCATCCCAATATGTCCTTGTACACTAAATCTGGATATTCCAGGTGAAATAGTATAGAAGATATACCCTAGAAAAAACATTTTCAAAAGTAAAGGTCAAAGGTCAAAACATAGGTAACAGTGACCTAATTCTTGCATTCTGCACTCCACCATCCCAATATGTCCTTCTACACCAAATCTGGATATACCAGGTGAAATAGTATAGAAGATATACCCCAGAAAAACATTTTCAAAAGTAAAGGTCAAATCATAGGTAAAAGTGACCTAATTCTTGCATTCTGCACTCCAAATGGGTCGAAATGAAAAGATACTACCCTGATGTACGACATCAGGGATAATTACCATATCTGTAAATTTCCCTGAAATCGACCCAGAAATTTAAACAAAGGGCCATAACTCCTTTTAAAAGGGTTAGAATAAAAAAGTATTACTTGGATGCACTACGCAAAGGGGCAGTTGCCATATATTTTTTGAAATTTTACCCAGGAGATAGGAGAAGTTGTCAGGACAAGAATTTTTCAACAAAAGGCCCTAACTCCATAAAAAAGGGTCAAATTGAAAAAATAATACCTATCATATCCGAAAACTGTCATTGACATTGGTCCAGTAGTTTTGGAGAAGTTGTGCGGGCAAGCATTTTTCAACAAAGGGCAATAACTCTGTAAAAAGGGTCAGAATGAAAAGAATAATACCTGGATGCACAATTTCAGGTGATAGTTATCTTTTCTTAAAAGTTTCGTTGAAATTGGCCCTATAGTTTTGGAGTAGTTGTCTGGACAAGGATTTTTCAACAAAGGGCCATAACTTTGTAAAAAAGGGACAGAATGAAAAAATAATACCTGGATGCACAACTTCAAGTGGTATGTATCAAATCTGGAAAGTTTTGTTGAAATTGATCAGTATAACTTTAGGAGGAGTTGTCCGAGACAATGTTTCAGGATTTTTTCCACAAAGGGCCAAAACTTCGTAAAAAAGGGCCAGAATGAAAAAATAATACCTGGATGCACAACTTCAGGTGGTAGTTATCATATCTGGAAAGTTTCGTTGAAATCAATCCATAACTTTAGAAGAAGTTGTCCGGACAAACCTTTTGTATTTTTTATTTAAATTTGTATGCATTTCTGTGAATTTCTGGATCTGTAGTGGCAAGGGGAGGCCACTGTCAAACTTTGACGTGGTAAAGAATTTTGCAGCTTTTTATCATCCACAAACCTCGATCACTACAAGCTACAGATCCACCATTGATATGTAATGGCCTGAAAGTAGATAAAAATTGCCAAGTGTATACACAGGAATATGGCTTTGAAGTGTCCCTACTTTCCAGTGTCTGCGACATTAACAGAACAGTTTGATCCCTATGATACCCTCGTGTCCGTCCCTCATGAACACGTACCACCCTGCCTGTCCGTGGCCTGGATGTTTAGCCTGTATGTCTGAGTCACCTCGGAAGTACACTGGTAAAAATGAGCGTGGCCCATAGCCGAGGAAGGGTAGCACGCCCCTTAGCCTAGCATCATAGTCCACCTGGAACACATGTTCCCTGTAGTCTTCTGCCGTCTCCTTGGAATGACTCCATCCAAACAGCACCCCAACTACCACAGATAAAACAAACGACTTTATCAATTTCATGTCAACTAATGTGGTATACTGTTATGTAATAAATAAATGTTATTTACCTTGAAGTAACGTGTCTCTGTTTCATACTGGTGTTATATACTGTAGTTTACCTTGCTGACTAATTATATATATAATGTAGCATGTCCCAGTTCAGCACTAGGGTAATAAAAATGTCCTACAAGAGGCCAATAGGCCAGGGCCTGTATGGCCTCAGATCACAAATAGGAACCAGACCTTGTGCAAAGTTTTAAAATATTTTAATTTCATTTATCCTTTGGTAGTAACATAAAGTAAAATTAATTGTGGTCTGAGGCCTGCAGCGAGTTGTTTATACAAATGTTTATATAAAGACCATTGTTACTGAAGTAATTAGTGAGGTGTTTTAACGAATAATTGTATTTACGTAGTACAGATCGTATTTTGAAGGTAACGTTATGTCTTCTTGAAGGAAGAAGTCGTTGTCAGGATTTGTAAGTTCTACTACAGGAAATGCCAAAAGAAAAGATAATTGTGCACATGAAAATGAGTTATAGTGGATAAACTCCAGCAGTCATGGACCCAACGCTGCATTCTGCTCTCTTTGTAAATTGCATATTTCAGTTGGACCTGGTGCTAAAAACGATGTTAAAACATTCAAAAACATGCACAGTCATTTGATGATTTGTTTCTGTCAATCAAAATGATCCTGACGATAAGAATTCAAACCCTACTCGTATAAAACTAATATTTTATATGAGTAGGGTGCAATTGCTTATTGTCATGACCATTTTTATTGACAGAAACAAAATGGTATTTTATATGAGTAGAATGCGACATCTTATTGTCAGGACCATTTTAGTTGACATAAAAAATGCCTGTAAAAACACAGTATCATACATGCTATTATGAAATAATTTTATAAGTTGTGTTGACAAATCTTTTTATTTTTCAGCATTGAATTTGGTATTGTGGATGAGGATCAACTAGACTGCTGGAAGAACAGTTCAATGAATGTAGAATGTAACTTTTACATCATTTAAATATTATAATTTTAATTTAAAATCTACTTTTCTTATATTTGCTGCAAAAAAAGGCGTCGCATGCTATGACCCTCTTTTTTATTTTCAAAAGATGGTCATCACCCTCTTTCAGTATATCCGGGGTTGACTGGTATGTAATTGTGGTCCGAGGCCATGTGGCTAACCTGGATATTGAAGCAATCATAGCAAAAATTCTCAATGAAACTAGCATGGTAAATAAAACCTTAGGACCAATGCCCTGTGTTAATGCTGACAGCATATAGATATCCAAATCTCCATACTCACCAATGAAGCGTGTCTGTTTCATACTAGTGAAATAATCTATAAATGTTGTTTACCTTGATGACCAATGAAGAGTGTCTGTTTCACACTAGTGTAATACTATAAATGATCAATGTTGTTTACCTTGATGACCAATGAAGCATGTCTGTTTCACACTAGTGTAATACTATAAATGATCCATGTTGTTTACCTTGATGACCAATGAAGCATGTCTGTTTCACACTAGTGTAGTACTGTACTATAAATGATCAATGTTGTTTACCTTGATGACCAATGAAGTGTGTCTGTTTCATACTAGTGAAATAATCTATAAATGTTGCTTAACTTGCTGACCAATGAAGTGTGTCTGTTTCACACTAGCGTAATAATCTATAAATGTTGTTTACCTTGATGACCAATGAAGTGTGTCTGTTTCACACTAGTGTAATA